TATATATATATATATATATATATATATATATATACAAGGCGTGCATTAGACTGAGTCGCGGGCAATGGTGGATGCATCAATTCGGAGCACCGCATGATCGATGTGCTGCTCCTGCCTTTGTACTCTTGAGGCTGTGAAAGACGAGGTCGTTGACGATCGCCTGTTGCTCCCATTCGCGGTGCGACCTGGTGCAACAGAGTCAGAATGCTGGCAAAGCAGCCTGCAGCTACTTAGCCACGCGACGCTTTGTCTCACCGATATTCTCCGAGATTATAGTAGTGTTAATCTGAGAAATGCAGATTTGGGGAAAGAGAAATGGAGCACGCCTGCAACCCTCCCTCGGTTATTCAGTGCGATTATCGATATACGAAAATAAATTGTAAGACAGATGTCAAGGTTGCACGGATGTGGATTCATTACGTGCGACGTTGAACAATTTTATATAACATATTTAATTGTAAAATTCTGTTTGTCAAGAAAATTTCATTTCCCGCGGCGATAAAGTTAGCTTTCAATTCGAGCCTCCGAACTCTCACGGATTTTATAATTCAATCTTAATAAAATTAACTTTAAGCAATTACTTTCGAGGGAGGAAAAGTTTAACAATCTCAAATTTTTTTTTATACTGGTAAATTAATAGAAAATTGATACGATAATGATAATGATAAGAAGATGAGAAGACTTATCGAAGAAAAACTAACAAGTCAAATTAGGAGTTGTGCCGAAGTAGAAATAGAATTAGAGTAGTGAAGAAACAATTGCGAGAAAACGGGGGGCAAAAAAGCAAAGATCAAAGGATGTCACTTAGGGAATTGCATTTTCCTTTGTAACCGCACAAATAGCGGGTCAGCGGGCTCAATCGACAGGAAAGTTAATTCGTTGTTTATTCTCGATATCCGATTTGGACCATTCTATTTTGCGTTTCATCGCATCTGTAAAACGAAAATAACTCCAAAAGTTATCAGATTTACCGAGACCGAGATTGTGACAATAACGGCAGTTTTATTGGAAATGTGATTTAGCGGTAAAATTTTTATTCCAAGACGGTAGTTACAAGTAGTAGATAAATGTAAGTATAAAAGTATAAATAGGTGGATAACGAAGTAATGGCGAGTTAACAAGTATACAACAAGATTGTAATATGTGACGTGTCTTACCGAGTTAATTTGAAAACTTTTGTCGGTAGCTTTCTTCTTGTTTTTCGAGTCTCGCAAACGTAATCCACTTTTCGAGCTTTCCGCGCTCGTTCGCGCGGATCGGACGAGCGCGCGGGCCGAGTGTGTGCGAGACGAAAGCGGAATTATTTAATCGGTATTAATGTTGGGGGGGGGGGGGAGCTACTACGTAGGCTTCTATCGCCGAGATTAATTTCTGACGACGAAACTAATTTAACTTGGGCTATAGCCGCGAATAAACGATTCGTTCGCGACGCCTCCGCTTACGGGCGCGTTGTAGCCCGCGGAGTTAAGTTACAACTGCGACACGCCGCAACTGCCATGATATCTAAACTGTAACGTGTCAAGGTCGCGATTCGCTACCCGGCGACCTCGGCACTTTAGAAACTTGGGTGCTTTAACGACCGTAAAGCCGTACGCGTAAACGTTTACCTACCGCGTATAGCCGGGATACACGTGTCGAAGCGACACGTTCGATCCGATTAATATTTGATCGATTAATGCCGGACGCACGCGGCGGTGTATAGACGCAAAGCAGTGTTGGGGTAAAAATTGCAACGAGATGAAGATTACGAAATACGAAAATCGCGAGCGTATGTCGGCGGCATTCTATTATTTCGGGTAAGGTAGAGAAGGTTCTTTACTCGATCCCGTCCCTTCATAACTTCGGACGACGGGCACGATACGACTTTTCATAAGACAAGGAATAACCAGCACCACGTTCCTCCGTGACCTCCATTTAAATTCGACCTGTTTTCCGTAAGATAATAAGAATCGGAGCTTTTCCGCTTTAGCATTTCAGTTCGTAAGCAGATTTACGTAATAAAATTTTCAACTGAAACTGGATAACGCTTGAAGTTGCTTATTTTGGGTTTAGAATTTCGCATTAACCATCGTGAATTTAATAACCGTGTACCGTAATAATAGTAGAGTATTATAAATAACGTATTTCAGTATATAAATAAAAAGAAGTAGTATTTTTATTTATGAAAGAAAAAAATAACGCAAGAGGAAACCTTTCTACCTCCACGTGCCGCTTATAATAACCACTCTCGGTGCCTTTTCTTAAGAAAAACTCGACTCTCCACACAGCTTAAAGAGATTATCGGCGGAAACCCGGGAAAGTCGGGATATCCCGTATGAACTTGCGCTTATCTGCACGCGACAACTTGTCGCGCCATATAGCGTACACGTAATAAAGCGTTAGGACGCGGAGTGACGTAATTGATTTTGCCAGCCGCGATTATCCGCAATAATTCGCACGCTCTTACTCGCGCGAGTAAGCGCTTTCGAGAGTTATACTCGCAAATCATGAAAACATTTCGGCCGCGTTACGATCCCGGATCACGTCGTTAATGACGTCGTTTGCGACCTGAGAGAGAGAGAGAGAGAGAGAGTCTACGGCCCTTTGCGACACACTCAAAACACGACTATCGGGCATGCAACGAACGGGTCGGACTACATATGGGCTCGTTCCACTGTGCACTCGCCCCATAGTGCACTCCCGAGTTCAATCGACCTGAATCGATCCTTATCGTATCCGTTCGACGCAGCTCCTGCTTCTATTCATGATTTCAGCCGGGTAATTGCGGTTCTCTTCACGTTAAAAGGGTTACCGAGCGCGCGCAATATCGCGTGCACGTGAGTAACGGCGAGTTACACGAGTTAATCGACGTAATGACCGCTGTACTCGACCATCCGGGCTCGTTCCGATACGCAGAATACGGGCTACTCTACTATCGAACGAAAGAAAGAGAATTAATTTCGGAGGATAATCCCTTCAACGATAATAACGTGGGAGGGGGAGGGGGCCATTACGTCGTTGGCGACTTTTCAATTATTAACATTGAGTAATGGCTTTGGGTATATGTTTAAAATAAAATTTCCGTTTTCGAGTTCCGTTATATCTGTCTACATTGCTCACTGACATTGATACGTCAATGCGTCAATAAATCATTCAATAATCTCAATATTAATAATTGGAGTTACGAATATTATACTGAAATAATACGAAAATAAAATGACATCTCGTTTCTTCAAACTTTTCTAATAATAATCATCGCTCGAATAAATAGTTAATCTTTTCCAAAATCGCACAATCTGGGTATTTATTTTTCAATTAATTCCGTTTCTCGTTCGATTGGAATCGTGATAATTCGAAAAGACGATAATCGTGTTACGATCGCGCAGTTCTGTTGAGCCGTCAATGAACAGCAATAACGATTATATATACGAGAACATATTCTATACCGGGGCATTCGCATATAGTCCTGAATTCATTGGATGATGGTAATCCCATGGGGAAACTAGCGGGACGACTCATGGGGATATTATACTATCGAACATCTCGCGCGCAAAGTAGTTTCGTCGTCTCTCGGGTGTCTGCTCTGTCGGATGCACTTCGGACGTGAACGTCGCGTTTATTCTTGTTTTCAGAATGCTAGAAGTTATTTGAAAATCCATTTACCGAGGAACGTAGGAACGGAATGCGATAAACGGATAGCCCTTTGCGGTCCGAGATACTTTTCCCGCTTCGTTTCAGCTTCGTTTCAGTTTCCGTTTCAAGTCCGACGCATTCCGTACATACTTGGCGTAAATTCTCTTCTATTTAACATTTTCATAAATTAAATAAAACTCTAGGTACTCGTAGCCGTGTATGGCGTAGTTCCTGCGCCATTAAAATATACATACGATCTAATTAATAATTCAATTTAGACGCGATATGATATAATATTTGTTTACAAACTTTTTTTTTTATTTGACGAGAAAGATAATTCGTATACTTTAATCAA